CTAGCTGTCTATTTTTTGTTTCATGTTTTTGGACCTAAAACAAGTTAGGAAATTATCTTCCCTATTCCTTTCCCCCCCTTTCCTTTCCAACTTTTTCTTCTATACCTTTATTCGTTCTTTATTACACTCTTTTTTTTCTCTCTCTTTACCTGTTCCCTTTCCTTTCTCTTTCATTTTTCTTTCAATCTTTTTATTTAGAAGTCTTTTCTTCAAGATCCTCTTCTCTTTAAATTGTTTCCTTGCAGAACCTTGATGTTCATCAGAAGCCTGGATTAGCCAGTCATTTAGAATTCCTGCCAGATACACAGTACTTCTAATGTTGAAAATGTAGGGATGTAAACCATTTTTTTTTTTTTTTTTGAACTGTCACCATATTGGTTGCTTCTTTCACACTGCCATTTTTTTTTTTTTTTTTTTTTTTGCCAGCTCTGACCATTTAATGTTATTTGATTTGATGTGCAAAAGTTTGAATGACAAGTGCCTGGAAAACCAGGATGAAACTTTTGAATGCCTTTGGAGGCATTCAAGGCCAGGCTGGATGTGGCTCTGGGCAGTCTGGTCTGGTGGTTGGCAACCCTGCACATAGCAGGGGGGTTGAAACTAGATGAGCATTGTGGTCCTTTTCAACCCAAGCTGTTCTATGATTCTGTGAAACCACACAAGGAGTTGCAGGGTCTTTTCAGAAAATCAGCAGTTCCCCTCACATGACATAGTGTACTCCTACCCCAGGTGATAGTAGGGGAAGTGGGTAGTACACAGGCTCATTTTCTCAGTGCAGCAGTGATAGACTGTGTGGTTTGACCCAGGACTTCCTCCTGGTTGGCAGCAGAACAGGATCAGGTGTTCCTGGTCAGTTCACTCACTCCAGGTGGGCTCTGTGGCTAACTGGAACACCACAGCAAGACCAAGGTCTCAGCCTAAGCTCTACAAATGTTCTTCTTGGTTGGTTCCTTTCTGAATCAACCCATTCTGGACAGTGTTTGTTACTACACTGCAGCAATGACATGCCAGGTATATGCATCTGGCACCAGAACAACTTTTCAGCAGCTGTCTGACAGTCTACTCTGAGAAATATGAAACAGCATCAGCGAACATGTCACATTGTCACATGCCCTTCTTTAGAAAACATCTAACATATTTGTTTCTGATTACTCTGCAGAGCATTGGGTACAAAACCTTCCTGGATTGAAGGGCTTGTCCATGCAATATTGCACATAAGTCAGGTAAATGTGATTGCAGTGGACTGGGTTCACGGGGCTACAGGAGCCTATAACTCGGCAGTGGAAAACGTCACACAGGTGGCCCTCTTCATCACAAGCTTCATCAGCAAGCTCCTGGTAAGCTCATGCATAGCGCTGTTGAACAACCCTTATGCAGTGAGGATGGTATATCTTTGCATTTACCAGCCATGCATAAGCTCTGTGTAGCATTTGCACCATAGACCCTGACTGTAGTGTGGGAGATCTTGGGTATGCTCCAGAGTGTGTATTTGCACTCCTGGGGCAACTGTGACATCAGGAGGATGGAGATAGGGCTGGGAGGGGAGAGGTCTGTCACTCTCATTAGTGATTTGGTCACAGTGGACAAAGTACTGGGCCACTCTGGTCCCCAGCATCCATCCTGTGTATGTGCTGAGCTCTAGTCCAGCTACTTTAGGACTTTTTTGTCCAAACTCTCCTGCTTACACCACAGAAGACAAATTCTAGTTTCTCATAAACCTCAGTGCTGCTGTAGGATGTAACGTCACATATTTCTAAGGTAGGATTTTTCATCTCACTCCCATGGTCTCATTCTCACCCATTGTATTCCACTGCATCATGCTGAACAGCCTGCAGCCAGCAGGATCCCTTCAGATAGAGCCTTCAGATAGAGTCACCTTATGTCATGTCTAAGTGACTATGCTTTATCTGGCAGTTCAACCTATGAATAAATCCTTTGTCTCTGAAAATGTAATCTTAAAATAATGAGTGAGAGTACAATGTGCACAATAGTGGTATAAAAGTGAAACAAAATTATTTCCTCTGCTTTACTGAGGAAAAGATTGTTTGTATGGGGGAACGTGAGTTATTCAGCTGAGGTGAGGAAGTTCTATCTGAAGCAAACCATGAAAGGAGGAGCAAAAGGCTATGTAGTCATGATCAGAAGTATCTGACCAACCTGGTTAGAGCTGGTTTTGCATGTGTGGACCAAAAGAAAGACTCTGAAAAGCAGAAAGACAATAGCCATCATTCCCACATCTAGTTTGTTCTCCACTGTATACCTCTAAAGCAATCCTACATGAGAAGAGTTGTGGAGCTGCTGGGTATTTCACCTTCCTTCTATAGAAATGTATATTTGTATGATCATCTGCAGGCCCTGGGAGTCTCTGCAACATCCATTCACATTATCGGTGTGAGCCTTGGTGCACATGTTGGGGGCCTGGTTGGGCACTTCCATGATGGTCAGCTGGGACAGATAACAGGTATGGTAAAACTGAGACTTAGGTCCTGATTTCTTATTCAACGAAGAGAATGCAATGTCAGGGACAGGTAGTCATCCACAGTGGTCTTATAACTGTATGAAGGCTCACTCGATCCAAGCTTCAGGGATTCTTACTAGCTTCTAAAGATCCTGACAATACTTTCCAGCCATCAATCCCCTCCACAGTACCAAAAGAATGCGTAACAGAAGAATTCTGCCTCTACTCTCTTCTAACTAGTGAGCTTTCCAAGTCGTGAGATCTTGTTATTAGTGAAATGACACGTCACTCAGTTGTACCAAATCAGAGCTGACTTGAAAACATACAGCTGAAGTCTTAGGTGTGAGGAAGAGATTGCAGTGGGGGAATTACAGATAAAGATGGTTAGAGGCTGATCATGGCATGCAGGGCTTTTAAATTCATGCAGGGTCCTCCAGCTTCTAAGTATGGGTTGGAATAAAGTCACACAACAATTTGGGTGAAAAGGGACCTTGGAAGGTGTCCTGTCCAGCCTCCCACTCAAAGCAGGGCTGTGTGCTAAGACAGATCAGATTGTTGAGGGTTTGTCAAGTTTGGGAAAATTCCAAAGCTGGAGATTTATCTTAGTCGGAGTGAAAGGAGGAAGAGACACAGACTGAGCAGCAGCCAAGGAAGAACAGGGTGTAGACAGAACATGGTTCCCAGTCTGCTTCAGCCCGTGCTGGGCTGCCTCATAGAAAAGGCCTCAAGAAGAGACACTCCACAGGAAATGTTGGTTCCCCCCTCGCCTGTCATAGCTTCACACATTGCATGTACTACAGGCATTTCTTACCAGGAGCAGAGTTTCACAATGGGCCACCATTAAAGCTGTGAATGAAAGTGTACGTTCAGAGGGATTTTGGGTAACCATCATCCTGTACCAGCATTTTCTCATCAGCTTCATTTTGAGATGACTCCTTCCCAACTCAATTGGAGACCTTTGCCTTTATGTTCTTCAAACCTAATAACAGATCTATGTATCCAATTTATTTTTAGCTCTACTGGAAGTCTCTTTAAACCATGCTTATTCCTGCAGATTCCTCATTGTGCAGGAAAGAAAATGGCATGGGAATGGGAATGAACAGCCCATATCTAAAACTGCTGAAGAACAATTTGTTTCTGGAGGAGAAAAAGAGGAATCCTGAAGGAATTTAGCTGTGCGTAGTACAGCTACAGTGAATAGTGCAGGATGTATGTCTCTGTACATGCAGTTTGTGCTGGGAAGTGGTGGAAATCCCATCCCAGGAAGTATCTGAGAGATGGGTAGACGTAGGACTCAGGGACATGGTTTATTGGCAGACTTGGTAGTGTTGATGATTGGCCCTAATGGTCTTAAGGGCCTTTTCCAACCTAAATGATTCTGTAATTCTGTTCATGGAGGAGACCAGCAGAGAAAACAGAGGATGGAAATGGGCTAACCTTGGAACTGTGCTAGAACTGGCTTGTTTGTATTAAATGTTTCTCCCTCCTCAGGAAGAACTTTAAGGTGTGCTGACTAACGCTTTTTATTCTATCCTAAAGCCTTTAACTTAAACTTGCTCTGTAGAAGTGAGCAGGGAACATCTCAGCTTTTTGCATGGGACAAGGCAAAAGAATGTGGATGACAAACAAAAGCAGTACATTCTTCTGACCACTTGTCCCTTTAATAGCCTTTATTTTTAGATAGGACAGTATTTTTAGGAGCTAACTTTTCTTCTTTCTCCTCTTCTCCTCCTCCCTGCTTCCACACATACACGCAAATATGTCGGTTTGTATTTTGTTGATAACACCTTCTCCATAGAGAATTAATGGGACTTAGTCCAAAAGGCAATTAAACTGGCCAGCTCTGAGGCAGTGTTACAAGGAGCAGGGCTGCTTCTTAAAGCATTGTTGGTGCCTGGGGAGTGAAAAGGGTCTTGCGAGGTTATTTTCCAAAGCAAAGTGAACAGAATAAACATCAGCTACAATAAAAACATGATCTTTAACCTGTTCTTGGTACTGCCAAAGAAAATTTGCAGTATTACTCTGTCTCCTCAGAATTTGCTCTAGGAGCAAGTTACAGGCAAAAATGTCAGTGGATGCTTGAGAACTTGATTTTATTTCTTGGGAGAAGGCTCAGAAGTATTTCTATTATAAGAATGTCTGATGGTATTGAACCTTTGTAAAGCTTAGGTTGATTAACACCTACAATGCTGAATTCTAATCACTAAGCTTGAGATCTCCAGTAACATTGCTCAGGCTGTAGCACTACTACAGATGACAGTACAATTAAGGAAGGTGTTACGGGTTTGAGTCTCTGTCACTGAAAATCCAAAATATACTCTGCCCCTACTCTGTTAGAGGTACTTGAAGCTCAGACGTGGCTTTAAAGCCTAGAAATTTGAGGCTTCATGGGCTGCTTGGTACAGAGCTGCTGCATGGAAATGGATGGCTAGGAGCAGTGGAGGACGAGGTAAGGAAGCTGCAGTGGAACTTAGTGGGAGCAGAAAGCTTTCTGAGATATGATCGATGCAATGAGGGAATAATTAATCACTTGTGCCAGGCATCAATTAAATAAACAATTTAAATAAAATTACTGGTCCAGAACTAAGAAAGGGAGGGTCTGAAGAGCATTTGTTGTTGGGCTGTTTGATTTCGTTGCAGGCCTGGATCCTGCAGGCCCTAAATACACCAGAGCCAGCCTGGAAGAACGCCTGGACCCTGGGGATGCCCTCTTTGTGGAAGCCATTCATACCGATGCTGACAGTAAGCTGGCTTCTTTCCTCCTCAGCTCGCCATGTCTGTTTGTCCTGCCATTGTTATTGCTAAGAACCAAGCAGGTTATTGTCCCATTTATGCCACATGACTACAAGTTCCGGTCCAGTCTGAGGATGTTCCCCGATTAGACAGGCTTCAGAGATGAACACACTGGCAGGCATCCATACCCCAGAGCACATCACAGCAACAGGTGGGAGCTTTAGTGCTGTAAACACAGGGCAATCTTCCAGCACACATTTCTTCCCTAACCTTGCTACAGCAGAGTGAGTTTCTGCAGAACAAGCTCAGTGTGCTTTTTGCCACTTGCAAGGAAGGAATTTACGTGTCTAACCATGCTTTGCTTTTGCTTACATGACAACAGAAAGGTGCCACTGGGAGAAAGTAATGGAGTCAAACCCACAGCTGTTGCAGCAATGGATTAACTTTCCTAAAACACTTATGTTCTGCTAATTAAAATGTGCTAAAATATAAACATTTGCCTCTCAGTCACACCCTTTGCCTGGAGACTACAAAAATCTCTACTAATATAATTCTCACTCATTCCTCGTTATTCCCTATGAAAGTTGTGTCCAGTTTTGCTCTGCTTTATACAGGATCAAGAACAGGAATGATGGAGATAGTGGTTAAGACAAAGTTGCCAGACATTTTTATGGCAGATCCCAGAGCAACCTCTGCTTCATGCAACAAAGCCAGGGCATCTGAGAAGGAACAGGAAATATGTTCTTGCTGTGTGAATAAAATGGGTCGTGGGGGAGCTATGTCTGGCACTGCTCACATTCAACCTGTTATTGGGCCCTGTCAAACACCATGTAGAGTACAGCCTACGGTACTACTGAGCATAGGAATAAAGTTGCATTTCATTCACTTTCAGATTTTGGGATCCGCATCCCTGTTGGACACATCGATTATTTTGTCAATGGAGGCAAAGATCAGCCAGGATGCCCCCGGTTCATCTCCTCAGGTGAGAACACTCTGTGGCCAAGCAAAGAGATTTCGTGGCCATTTAGCAATCAGTGAAAATGCTGTGTGGCAACCAGCTCCTGCCACAGTCAGAGCAGACGTCAAAGCATGACAACATTTATTTGCAAAGGCACACAGCAGCGGAGATTCATGGCCCACATCTCCTCAGCAGCACAAAAAGCAGCTGGAATTAAGACCACATATAAGTCAAATGTCTTGGCAGCAAGGGCTGGATGAATATTTAAACACCTTCTGGTTGAGACAGCTACACTGAGGGTAGGGAGGCCTAGGAAACCTCACTTCCCATAGCTGGGGTCATGGTGCAGATGGGAAGCAAAGCTATTGCCTTTTTACAGAGGGTTTGGGTCCTTGTCAGTGGCACAATGAGTGAGATAGGGCAGCCATGTGCCCCTCTCAGTATGAAAGACAGGCTCCCAGGTTTCTGCATGATTTCTGTTGCGGTGAGATCTAGGTTTGCAGTTTGCAGTCACAGAGATGTTCTACAAAATGTTATTTCGCAGAGTGGAAGTGGCTGCAGAATCTATTTCTTGACTTTTTGTTCCATAGGAAGCTGCAGAAAGGTCAAAACCAGCTGAAAAGCTGACGGCTGCTTTTCTCTGCATGCGTTTATTCCTGCAGGCTACAAGTATCTGATCTGTGATCACATGAGGGCAGTACATCTCTATGTCAGTGCCTTGAAACATTCCTGTCCTATCGTGGCATTCCCTTGCACAAGTCATCAGGATTTTTTGAATGGACGATGCGTGGACTGTGGTGATCCCTTCCTATTCTCCTGTCCCAGAATAGGTACAGTATCAGCATGAGGCCTTCATGGAGCAGGGGGCAATACATTCTTGATGAGTGCCAGCACAACCCACAGGACGTGATTGAAATTTTTCCAAGCAGGATCTGAATGTGAGCTATGTGGGGACAGGGAGAAACTGTGTCATTTTCAGGCTTCAGTAGAGAGGTCAAATGCTTGTATATTGTCCAAGGTAGAGCACCAGTGTCTTGAACATTTCTGATCTTTAAACATTTCACAGGGCTCATACTAAAAGACATTCTCCTGAATCTCTTACCTAGCAAATGGGCGATTTGCTCAAAAAGTGTCTTGTTTAGAGAAGCAGCTGGAAGTTTTAGCCCAACCTCAAAGTCTTAGTCTTCTGCAGCCTACTTACCTTTGTTGCATCACTTCCTTCTCATAAATTGCTGCTATGGCTGCTCTAAAGATAAACGACCTGGACTGGGAGAAGATAATCTTTGCCACTTTTAGCCTTTTGAATCACAGCTGTGGCAAGAGGAAAGGAAGTGTCCTCAAGTAGCTTTTGGTGACCGCTACCAGAGGAATACACAGAGAGGCTCTCAGATCATTCACTCCCTTCCTGTCTCTGCAAAGCCACACTGTCACCTGGTTAGTGGGTTCGTGTCTTCTCACTTCTGCCAGAAATACCATCTCCAAGCTCCTTGGGTCTCCTTTGTCCTAGCACCTTGTGTTGGCTTGCGTCTGCACAAAGCCACTAAGACGTACATTGCTGATGGTTAGCTACAATAGTCAGAAGAGATTTTCTGGGGGCCTGTTAACCTGTCAAACAGACAACACAAACCTCTTGCTTGCTTGCTTGCTCTAGTATAAAGAAATGGTCTGTCCTCCAAGACAACGAAGTTGGGAGTGAAGGTAAATTAGAACCAATTCTGTTTCTGTCCTGGGTCCTTCATGGCTCTCACTGCTCTGGCTTTGTTTCCTCCCACAGGCCTGCTAGAGCAGGCAGTTGTCAACATGAGAAGGCTGCCTATGAAAGTGAATGCTTATTTAATGACCAGTTCTTCGGTGCCATTCTGTGGTAAGTAGCAAAGAACAAAAAATGAGCCAGAAGGAGGATGACCAAATAAGGCAGACTATCTGGCAAGACCAAGCAGTGACAGCCTACCATTCCCATCAGAATCAGCTGCTGTGGAGCTGATGATCCCAGACACATAGCTGAAGAGCAATAACCCTGCACATCTCCCCCATAAAGCCCTTTCCAATGGATTTACTAGTGTGGGCACAGCCTCGTATTAACACAGCCACATGGCTTCAGGGCTGAATTGAAGGGTACAGAAAATGCCTGACTGTTCACATCAGAGTATGCAGATCTGCCCACTGTGTCTCTCAAACCACAGACTACGTTCTTTCTCACACCTGCTTAATCTTAGCTGTGCTGGTGGTGCCAGGCAGTGAGTGCTAGAAATTACTCCTTTTGGTAGGGTAGGTCTAACACACAGCACCTGCCCTCACTCCCACATACTTTCCCTCTTGCTCAGTTCACCACAGCCTCATTGAGTTCCGCTTGCAGAAGAAAAGAAATGTAATCACCAGCATTGAAATCACTTTCTTCAGCAACAGCACTAAGGACACGACAAAGATCACCATGTGAGTTACAGTGCTTGCTTTTTCCCAATTCCATGTATAAGCATGTTTTTCCCAGACCAGGAAAGGCACAAGGATGGAACATCTCCCTGAGTGCAGCCACTGTGTGATGAACCACAGTCTTTCTTAAGTTCCTACACGTTTACCTTAAATGCTTTCAAGAATCAGGTATGTGCTACCACTACTTGGTAACTCTGATGAAGTCCACAAGTACACAAACCAAGAGGTGTACTCTGGGATCCCCTTTGTACTGTTACAATGATTCCTTTTTTACACCATACCCATATTCCTGGTGCTGATTTAAATCACCCTCAGATAGTTATTAATCCTACCACACCAGACAGAGCTGGCTACAGCAACACCCAATTCACTGGAGGTTCTAGACTGATGGACTTGCCTCAAACATTTCTGTTGATGCTCATTAGGACAGCAGTTGCAGAAAGAAAACAAATACATCCCTGCACAGTCAGATATATGTTCAGAAGTACACTTCTGTCTCTGCATTAACACCAAAATGTGCCATAGCCCCCATTGTAGGGGAGAAATCCATTGGGTAGGAGACCAAGACTACATGATTTAGTATGCATGGTGGTGATGGGTCGATGATTGAACTACATGATCTTAGTGATCTTTTCCAACCTTAAAGATTTTATGATCTGTAGACAGTCAGTTCTCTCTTGTCACCACCACTCTCTTCCAAACCGTAACTGAATTAAAAGACCAGGCTCAGAGCTTCCAGCCTCTGCCTCAAGGGGATCTCTCCACCACAGACAAGTTCCCCAGAAGGAAGTCTTCCTCACAGCTTCCTGTCCACTGCCAGGGGCTGGTAACCACCACGTAGATATGCAGTGTCAGAAAGCAGGAAAGCAGTCTGCTAAAGACCCCAGCCAGCTCTCCTAAGTTCAGAGAGGATCGAGAATTGGCTTCAACATAGCCCTTATTTAGCTAAACCTAACTCTGTTGATCTGATCCTGTGCATTAGGAGAGAGAGGTGAGAACTGAAGAATGGGAGGGCCATGGGGGGGGAGCTGGCTTGATTATGGATTTTCAGACTAACACTGCAATTTAGAGTTCATACTCTAACCTGATGGAACTCACGTCTGTCCAACTCCACGGTGAAGCAAAAGCAGATCCAAGCAGCCCTGAAAATTCAGAAGCCAGATCTGTCTTCTCCAAAGGTGTGGGAAGGAGGAAATAGCAACACCCAGGTCAAGTCAGGACCCACAATTTGTTCAAGGAGACATGCAGCACTTCCTTTTGCAGCTGTCAGACACAGCATTTGTCACGTGTGCAGCAGGAGACATGAGCCCTGGAGAGAAATCTGCCTGGGAAGTGAGACAGCCAGGCAATCCCAAGGCTTTACTGTACCCTCCCGTTTTAGTGAGACAGTAGAGTTACAGCTATCCAGGGACACTCTTGCCCTGAAAGACAGCAGCTGAGCTTCACTTAAGTGCCCACGTAAGAATCACAGGAGTTGGAAGGACCTCAGGAGATCATCAAATCCAAACCCCACCTAAAGCAGATTCCATGCAATAGGTCGCACAGGTAGAAGTCCAGACGCCATTAGCCTACACATGCTGCTCACTGTGTCCCCAAGAGATGAGTCCTCAAGCCTGACAGCTGTCACAGGGCTGACAGAGTAAGGAGAGTTTTACATGGCATATTTCCCTGCTGCACTCGTATTGCTTATGTACCATGTTATGTAACATGGCCTCACCCCCACACCCAAGAAAACATAGTTCTGAAGTTAGCCAGAGTCCTATATGCACCCAAAGGCAGCGTAGGCTTTGACAAAATGTCAGTCCCAGCAGTGAATTTCTTCAGTCTAATTAATTGTGCTCCTCTGTCCTACGGCATGGCTGGGTCCTGTCCATGACAATATACTGTAAAGGGACAGTCTCTCCTCAGTTTGTTTTCCATCTATGATCCATCATTCACCTTTATAGCCACAATTTAATGATGCTTCTCATTTTGGACAGCTTCAAGCCATACACATAAAACTCCAGCATCTACCACTGCAGTCTAAGAAGAGAACTGGATGCACTGGTTTGGATTGGCTGCTCTGGCCTGGGAGGACATCAGCCATCAGCCTGATGCTCAACTTATTTTGGTTACCAGAATTGTAGACTCTTCCTGATCCCTTTGTCATCTCTTCCCTTTGTCATGTTTCTGAGCAGACAGTCACCAAATGCTTTTTGGATTTCACCGGCTCCACTACACACATTATTAACCAATACAAGGGAATAGGTGCCTAGTAGGTCAGGCATAAGATGCCCTATAGGACAGACTCCATGGGAGGGGGCAGCCCACCTAGTAAAACAGCTGGGCAGCATCACTTCAGGGCATACAGCCTGCCACCTGGCTCTGGAAATCACTGCTCTGGCTTTCCTTTGTTTGTCCACATTATGTGGTGATGAGCTTAAGGACAGGCAAAGTTTCATCTATCCAAGCATCTCACCTTCAACATGGCCTAAAGTAAATACCTTGAGTAGAGCATAAATAAGCAGCGTAGGCATGCAGCAATGATTCCTGAAGGTAATGTCCCTATTTCTAGCAAACACATTTCAGGGACATTCAGAGCTAAAGGTGAGTTGCTGTTATTAGCTCCCAACTCTTCCATTTTCTGTGAACCTGTCCATACTCCTCCCATGATTTATGCAGTTACGTAAAGCTTCTGACACATGACAGTAATTTTTATGTGGAAGTACTCCTGATTGCAGAGATGAAATGTGAACAGAGGGCTAAGAAAGATACATTCAATTGCTGACTCTTGTAATGCCCCATGTTTTGACAGATGAGTCTTTGTACTGCATTATTTTTTTACCCAAGGGGTTTGGATGAGTGCTCTAGGCTCCTCCAGTGTTTCAGTCTGCATCTAGAAGCTGGCTGAACGCCAACCCTCACATCTCTTTCCTTCCATTGCAGACCTAAGCAGGAAGAGGTGGGCAGACGGCTGTTGGCCCACAAGGCTCCCCTCTGCCAGACAAACAGTGTGACACTCAAATACCTGCCCAAGAATCGGTTTTGGAAGGATGAGTCACACATTGTTGGCAAGTTCTGTGCAGCTCCACTGCCTCTTGGCAACAAGTAAGTCACAGGAATATCTCCCAGGGATGCACAGAGCTGGGGATGAAGTTGGTAGTATACACCAATGCATTCTCTTTCAGTTTTGACAAATTTGTAAAGAGGTCTCTGTCATCCTTCTGTGTCCTCATATAAATAATTTCCTATTCATGAGAGAGAAAAACTACCAAGGTAGTTTTCCATGAGTTTTCTTCAGTTCTTCCATCAGGATAAAAGTGTTGCACCATACAGGGAAAATGCCACTCACCTCACCTTGAAGACAGTGAAGTCACAAACCATGACAGAAACTCGTACTAAATGGAATTGTTGGTTTTGTCCTCCCTTGTTCTCTTCATCTTCCCCATTCCTACAATGGGTCCCCATTTGAAACATGATGGAAATGCACATTTTTCAGGATAAGATAACAGAAGACCATAGATACAGGTGTGTGTGTCTGTATATACACACACACCTCACACAATGTAACAAAGCACTGAGGCTGAAGACAACCATTCTGGCCCTTCTTGGAGCCAGACACTGCAGGGTACATACCTTCAGCCATAACTGCCTTCTCCAGAGCTGAAGCAACCAAGACCTTCTCATTCTGAAAGAGATGCCAATCTACTCCATAGACTTGTCAGGACTGTTGCAGATCCTAAGTTCTTGTAGGCAGCACAAAATAACTGGGTCCATACAGATGCATTATACTCTTTCCATACTGTTACTGAGCCAACACTTACCTTGGCTCCAGGCTGAAGCAAGCCAGTGGGTACTCCAAAGCAGGGAAACCAGCTGTTCAGACTCTGTTCTGAAGGGCAACAAGGGAAGTCAAGCACAAGGCAGCAAAATATATTATAGGCCCAGAGAAAATAGTCATTCCTTTGTAGATTTCAGGCATTTAAGGGTAATGACTATTCCTCATTAGCATGCTTAGCAGAGCAAAGAACTACAAAGCAGTGATGGATATGCAGATATGTGGCTTTTTGCCACTTATGAATGGGATAGCATTGCACTGGCCTTGAAATTTGCTGACCTGCACCACTTGAGCGCTGGATGTGATGCAGGTGGGAAGCTGTGAAGTTGCACAGGTTCACAACTACACTCATCAGGCAACTGCTCAGAGCAGCAAAGTCCAGCCGATTCATCCCAGCTCAGCACATGGTCATTGTACCTTTGCAAAGCAACACAAGATCCATCAGCAGCTTGCTTGCCCCTTTGTTAGAACAGCAATCCCTGCCTGCTAAAACACAGTCTGACTTCGCTGTGCTCTTCCCACAGCAGGACCACATTCTGTCTGCCCAAGATCCTCACTCTTTATGACAACACAGAACTCTCTCTCCAGCTGTCTGCTGCTTGCACCTAGTACTGCTTTTGGAGCTCACATGCATACCCAAAGCTGGGAAGGAGTCCTAACCTGCTCCTGCTCTCTCTCACGGATGACACTTTCATTACAGAACTGGATGGGTGTTATTTTAGTTCCTGCATTCAGGAGTAGGTATCAAAGAAAAGAAGCAAGAAGTACATCAGCGATTACAAGACTAAGCAGTTACAAGACCTCTCAGTAAAAAGACTGTATTGGGACTTTTATCTCACAGATTCTGTTCCCAGATCTGAAAAGTGAAATAGACAAGTCATTTAATCTCATGATTTGAATTGCTATGAAACAAGAAGATAATTTCAGTCTCCTTACACAGGGAGTATTAGGATGATTCATTTGTGGTTTATTAAAGTGTCCTGAGATCTTTGTACTAAAGGTGCAAAGTATTATTTATCTTCAGAATGAGGAGTTCAGTTTTGGTTCAGTCTTGGCATAAGAAAGCATTACAGAATCACAGAATCATTTAGATCAGAAAGGATTTATAAAATCATCAAGTTCAACCATCATCTAACGCTACCAAATCCACCACTATATCACATCCCTATTGCTTTGGCAGCTTTCCCCAGTTCAGAACTCACTTCTACCACTACAGGACACCTTCAGCCTGAGAGTCTTGATTTCGTTTAAGTGCTCATGCTATGTAATCAAAGTGGATTCTCACCCCATGACAAGACTGTAGTTCTTCTGGCTGTTGGTTTGTTCTCTTTGAAGCTCACATGGTCACCAGAAACATAGCAGTGTTCTTCCATACAATTTTGTACTGCTTTAAAACAACTACCCAGAACAAAAGATAATAGAACAGAACACTGCAGGTACAGGACTACCTAACATAAATTAGTCCCAGGAGCTCAGTGCAGCCTTTTAGACCTTGAAAAGTAGCAGATGTCTGGAAAGTACTGGCAGAAGCCTACAGTAAGAGGAAAACATACACTCACAAGCAGCCCTCATCCGTTCCACCCATTTTCCACCACCTTGATGTATCTGCAAATTAAAGAGGACACAAGTCTTCCCTCACTGCTGCCCAAAACCCACACATTCTGCAGATCTCCCTCTCTGGTTCTCCGAACTGGCATCATCGGATGACACAGAAGCATAACAGGAACACCATAGTCAAGAGATAGGAACATACTAAAGGCATTTCAGCCTTGAGAAAGCAGAAATGTCACTTGGCATGAGCTGTCACTCCACCACACATTGTCAATGCAGAGTTACGTCCTCTGCTCAGCAAATGCCAGATCCCAAGGCCTCAGACATCATTTGGAGGAGATCTGTCTGGTGGGGAAAACCCATCAGCCAACTACTGCTGCTGTTGAATGTGGAAGATGCTTTTTCCATTTCCACACTTCCTCCTAAGGCGTTGCACTACCTCCTCCTTCCTAGTGGCTGCTTTCCCCAGAGGCTTTTTGCTCTCACTCATATCCTTCACTGTGTGCACAACCCGAGACCAAGCCCCACTGAGTACAAAAACGCCATTTCAGACTCTCCTTCTCACCTGAGTCCCAGTTTCTCCTCTTCCTTATTCCAAAAGAAACAACTCAAACCCTTTGCCAGAAACTGGTATTGTCTTTGATAAGCAGTGCTTGCCAGCAGTGAGAAACCTAGTCCCTAGAAAGACCCTTACTACAGCAGATGCCTACTGTGATGTAATAGATGCACTCTCCATATTCTGCCTTCTGATACATGCCCATTACCAAAGCCACCAGGCACCCCCATTTCTCACTGTACTTTTCCCCATGGCTTTCAAACCACCTCACATTCTTCAAGCAGCATTATCACCCTCTCCAAATCCTCAAACACCACCAACTTCTCCTCTGTCTTTAATTGGAATCGTTAAATCAAAGGGAACACAGATCCCGTGAGCAGCTCATGCTGCTTGCAGCTGTACTGCGGTGCCATGGTACCAGGCCTGCCGACATGCCCTGGACAGGCAGGACTAGAAACCAAACCAGGGAATCACCCTGGGGCCAGCAGGTTGAAGCAAACATTGTGGAGTGGGAGGTGCTGGAGGGTCACTGCAGTCCCACGCGTGTGCTTCAATGTGCTCCTGAGTGTTCGTGTCCATGCAGGCAGACATTTTGGTGCGTTCTACAGAGTGTCCATCTGGTCAGAAAGGTGTGTGAGTACACACGCCCCCCAGGTGGGGCTTGGGATCCAAACAGCCTGCTGTTCCCTAGAGCTCAGGGGTCTGTGTGGGAGCCAGGGGAGCTCGTCCTTTGCAGGGAGCAGGAAGGTGGCTCCGCAGGTTCTCAGAGGCTGTGGAAAGAAAGCAGTGGAGCAGGAAGGAAAATTAAGGGGGAGAGAAAGAGACAAAGAAAGAAAGCATCGTTAGTGTCAGAGGAATAATTCTTACTTGTTTTGCAAACCTTTCCAAGACACAAACCTCACAGAGCTCGCCATTACTTTTCCTCCTCCCCCTCCCCTGTTAAATTAGCATGCAAAACCATGTAATTCTTCCACACACAATAAATCAGAAAATGTTATCCAAGCACACCGAGGCAGCAAAACCAAAGCTTTTCCAAGCACCTTCTGTGATACCACTGGAACAAAGCCCACAGCTCCTTTAGTTCTGCTCGCAAAGCAGGTGTAAAAATTCCTACTAACGTAGACACCAGGCTACAGCCCATTGAGCACCCATCCATTTTGGCCACCCAAGAGAAAGCCAGCTCACAGATGCAAAACTAAGTAGCAGCAGCTACGCATCTTGCAAGCATTTATAGAACAAGCCAGAGCGAATGCAATATGGAAGGGGGAAAAGGCAGGTGGCTTCTGGTTGTATCAATTTTCATTCAGGGATTAAAGCTTTGTTTGCTAGGGAACACTGGGCTATACAGCAGTATGCTGCTAAAGCAAGTTTTGAACAGAACCCTTGAACCTGTCTCTTCTAAACAGACGAATTACTGAAACAGCTGTTCTCCTGAAAAAGCATGTGTTCTTCAGTAGGATAACACAGTCTGTTTGCTCGCAAGCAGAAATTCTCTCAAGGACTAGATGATAAGTCCAATAGGACAACACATCTCACAGAAACAGCCTCAAGGTGCAAGGAGGAGGTTTAGGTTGGACATCAGGAAGAAATTCTTCACAGAGATGGTGACCAGGGATTGGAAGAGGCTGTCCAGAGCAGTGGAGTTCCACTCCTGAAGGTATCTAAGAGATACGCAGATGTGGAACTAAGAGATGTGGTTTAGTGATGAGATTCAGTAGATCACACTGACTGTTGGACTTCATGACCTTGCAGGTCTTTTCCAACTGAGATCTATGGACATTCAAAAATCACTGTAGTCATTCAGAAATTGTGTCCTGCATTGTGGCATAGCAAGGTGGCAATATCAATGAAAAGAAAGGTGATTTGCAGAAGCACTCCAGCAAGAAGAATTTAGAGAACCAGAAGGTAATTACCCAGGCTGGAAGCTGCTCAGGAGACAGATGAGAGCTCAGGACATGGGAAAGCCCCAGGAAAGCTCTGAGACCACAGCTATTGCATACTCAAGCAAGGATGCTGTGGGGACTATCCCTGTTTACTGTTTTCACCATTTCTAAGACAGAAGTTACAAAAGTGCTTGTTCCCAGCCAGGAGGGAAAACAGCAGCTCCTCTCTAGCACTACCTTTTGCTGTTAAGTGCTCAGGTCATGGTGGAACAATGTCCTGGTGTGACAATTGACAAAAGGAAGACCATCCCCCTCCTCCACTCCAAATACAGGCCTCTGGAACATTCGGGCTTCTATCACAGGTCTCTACTCCAAATATCAACCCATGCTGACATTGCCTCTGTCCCAAGATCTAGAAAGACAAGAGCTTCCAAATGTTTTAAGAGGACTTTGTGACAGAATATGGACCTTTGTGTTGCATCCCATGAACTTTCCCTAATGCAGATGTAAACAAGCACCTTTTGCACGCATGTTCACAGTATCATCTTATGCCAAATACAGTTGGCTGAAAGGTTCAATTGAAGAAAAGCTGTGGTATTCCTTGCCTCCATCACTTCCTTTCTTAATTTTTTTTTAATTGCATTTGAAATTCTGATTTTACTGAGCTTCATCTACCAGGAGAATTCTGCCAGTGACCTGAGAATGGATATCCTAGCGCTGAGAAAACAACATACAAGCACAGACAAAGTGCCCATTTACAGCACTGACTGCATTTATTTTTGATTGCATCTATGCAACAGAAATGCCTGACAGTTAAGAGAATGACTGTCTCATAACTGATTCATGTTCCTGCTTCTCCAAGTAAGGACTGAAAAAGCTTCAAGTTTGTACCTCCAGCAGCCTACAGCCTAACTGTCAAATTAGGAGAACTCCTAAGCTAGAAAATAAATAAGGATTTTATTTTATTTTTTTTTTCTGTGAACCATTTTTTTTTTAAACTAAGCAAAACTCTTGCTGATTTGTTTTATTTAAATCCAATTCAAGGACAACCAAACACACTTGTTCCTCTCCTGGCTAGCTCCATCATATCCCAGATTTCAAGTCAGTAGATGTGGAAATGCAGGAACAGGCACATGGCTTAATTCAAAGCAGAATGGTATTGGACAGGAAGATCTTCCAGCTCCACTGCTTTCAAAACTCTTTTTAACTTTCTTGCAGACTCAGCTTGGACTCATGCAGTGGTCACTTCTAGGACAAAAATCCCAGCTCTGTGCTTAGAGTCTGGCAACCGGCTGCCAGAAAGCAGCATTTCAAGACAGCAGGAATGCACATTTGGAGACTGCAGCTGGTGTGCAGCAGCTGGCTAAATGTAGCTCAGCATAGAATTTATCTCTCAGTCACTTGTATGTGAATTTCAAGTATGAGCCACTCTACCAGGTATTTCTGTTCGCCTGTACTGCCCCAATGTCCCCAAGCCCAGCAATTTCCTTCCCCAAGAGCAAGGAGCTGGCATTTTGGAGAGGAGCATCTTATTCCCACTTACCAGAAAGTAGAGCTTGGGGCATGTAAAAACAACATTTTACATTTGGCCTTCTGCGGTGCAGGGTCATTGGAGACTTTGAACAATGCACAGTGCTCCCCACTATCCATCCACATTAAGACCTAGAGGTGGTTTTACTTGTGCTGTCCTCACTGAGGTTGTCAGCTCCCTTACCTGTATTTACCCTCCTCAGTTCCATACCAGAGTATCTCCAGTCACAGCTCTACCTCACACAAGCAGGCTAATCCCATGCTGTCCTTGCAGATACCCATACATCCCACTAACCTGGATGTCATTATAGTGCCTCTGCCTCCGCAGGGGGATGGAGAGGACAAGGCAGGGAGGAGCTTCCTATGAGCTGGTGACCAGTCCTTACACCCCACTGTGTGCCTGTTGCCTGTAATTAAGCTTTTACCTCCTCCTGCTTAAAACCATGCAGGTCAAGGACATCTCCTTGAGTTCTCTGTATCAGCTGGCAAAAAAATGCTGCCAAGCGCAGCAGACCTCACAGCAGTATCACAGTCCTTCCCAGCACCATGATGACCAAGCAGGTGCACCTGACAATCATAAGGTACATTTGTGGTGATTTCCTTGGGGAAAAAGAGGGCTATGTAGTGTGGGTTTATACCTACTTGTATGCTAACCTCCATAACAGGAGAGCAAGGCATCCTGTGCTGGTAGTGGGAAGCCACCAGGAGGGAACTGGTAAGGCCAAGCAGCCACCATCTTCTGCTCTGCTTTTAGGCTGCTGTACCTCTGCCCCTGGGGACCTCAGGGGAGCCACCTGCACTTTTCCTTACCTCTGTGGCAAGCAAGGGCAAGAGGCTGGGGAATTACTTGCTGCCACTGGTGGGTACTTACGCAGGGGTGCCACGTGGGGTGACGCATGCCCGTGCAGGGAGCACCCTCACTTCATATACTCCCCTTCGCTCACATAGTCCATAAATGACCCTGGTAACTCAGCAAAATCTTCCAAGACAAGACTGGTGGAGTCCTCACCCAGCAGGTCGCTCTCAGCCCGGGAGGACCGAGGGCGTGAAGCAGGAGGTGGTGGTGGCGGAGGCTGTGGAGGGGGTTCCAAGGCCCCGTCCAGCCCATGTTCAGGCTGTGGTGAGCGCGGCAGCTCCTCGGCCTCCTCCAGCTCCCCCTCTGAGGAGGCCGGGCCCAGGACATGGTAGAGGCTGGGCAAGCGGATGTCAAAGCGGAGACCAAACTTGGCGAAGAGCTTCTCATTGAGGGAGTAGAGCTTCTCTGAGATGTCATAGCCCAAGTGGGAGGAGAAGAGGCGGGCAATGTAGCGGTCCTTCCTCAGGAGGAGGTACAGCCGCCGCCTTGGCCAGGTGATGTAGCTGCAGTCAGTTTCAGCTGTCAGTGTGACCTGTGGGGCAACAAGGGAGTCATTATAGCCATTTTTTACACTAGCTTTAAGACCAGGCTAACAATAATTTTAAAATATACAACACATGACCATATATTGCAATAAATATAATAATAAAACGTAAGAGACATATGCAGGGTGAAATACCCTTGGGCCAGAGAAGAACATCTGAATGTAATGGAGACCCAGGCATGCAAACAAGCATTGGAACCAAAATATCCCGGGGGCTCCCTTTCACTCCATACACAGGGGTCTCCTTGGCCAGTCACCGTGGCAGAGGGCCATTGGGAAGCTGAACATGGCTTGGCTGCAAGTGTGTGTCCTTGGGATTGATACCTAACACTGCTGCCATGCAAGCAGCTGCCCTATGAAAGAAATACAGGACCTAATAGCTGAGAACTTCCCCAGGACAAGGTTAGCGAGAGTATGGGTCACACAGAAACTGCAGTGAGAAGAATCTCATTTTCCTAACCAATTTCTGGCACTGCCTCTCCTTTCTATAAGGATCTATCTCTACTTTCATAAGGTAACAAGGGATTAGGTGAACTGCAACAACAAAACCTGGTTAGATTTTCTCCTAACCAGGGCAACATGACAGGATTTGTTCATGAACCTCTGGCATCATCAGAGCTTCTGGGAAAATGAGCCAGCCACAAAACCCAACTCCTCCAGGCACTGGAAGCCAGCAGCTCAGCAGCAGTGTGGAAGAAGATGTGGCCAAAGCAGAAGGCATGAGAAAAAGTGGAGTAAGTCAGGCTCTTGCCACTTCTCAGAGATCCTAGAACTGCTCAACCCAGACAGCCACAGGGGGAAACGTGGGCAAGAAAAGCCTTCCATGTCCTCTTCCAGCAAAGGTCCAGAGTCAAATATGCATTTTTCTACCCAAGTGACTGTAGTGCTGGAAAAGGTTGAGATGAGATAGTCTTATCAGTGACGCAGATAAGAGGAACTAGTGGGTCTAACACTTGTCCGAGATAGCATGTTCCCACAGGCATGAAGAACAATGTTCTACCAAGAACATTACCATCAAACCAGACCTGATGAATTTCGGTCTCATGCAGCCTGATAATTCTTCATTCTCCTTAGTGAGCAGACAAGGATTTAGGCATTTCTAGCATGCTGCTGCAGCCTTTCCCCACCCAGACCAACACCACCTATCCCAGTGCCCTGGTGCAACTGATCTCCCTGACCAGGAGCTCTAGGAACATTCGGTTTCACAGAAATTAGCTCAGAAAGCACTGCAGATGCCTGTGCAGATGTTTCCTGCCTTAGATGAACCTTTTCCCTCAGGGAACAACAGTATTGCTCTCTCTTATGAACTCTTACTCAAATAGAACTCAGGAGTGGATTGAAGCCTGGTGCAGAACACAAAATACCTCCACCTCTGGCACAGCCATGCTGTCGTTACTCTTCATCCACCTCAGTACCTTGGCCTGACATCTCAATTTTTGTTAACAAGCTGTATCCTATGCCACCCTCACAGGGTCAGCCATGCCCTGCTGCTCCTTCTCTGGTACGATTTTGATGATCAGTGATGGCAGAGGTCTCAGAACCAGTCACCATGACCTCCCCCTCACGGTAACCTGGACAAATTCAGACCTGAGGAAAGCAGGTATGGGGAGCTGCCTTGGCTTAACCAAGTCTGAACACGGCTGTCCCCATAAGAGCATAATTCCCTCATGACTGTCCCACCCTCCTCATAGATTAGTAAAGCCCCTCCTCATATGCCCCAACTGGCACACACTAGATTGACATCCTGATGGCTATCAGCCAACCCCATAGGTTAAAGGCGGAGAGATATGGGCTTGCATAATCTCCTCCAGAAGGAAAGCCAAACAACAAATACTGTGGTGTTGACAGCAAGAGCAAAACCCTCTCAATTGCTGCAAATAACAATCGCTCTGGTCTCTCAGCAAGAGATTCCTCTGCTCAGAAAGGACCATATTCAGGCGTGAATCATCCTTTCTGCTTCTCCACCCCAATTAGATGCCATCCTGCCACAGAATAATGCAGCCCACTGGGCGAACATTTCAGTGTTGGTTTAAGGGAGCATTCTGACAGCAGCGATCCAGCGACCCAAGGCCTCCCCGCCTGCTGAACCGTGCCTGGCATTGCTGCTGGCTGGCTGTGGGAAACCAGGAGTGAGCCTGGGTGACACTCAGGGTTACCTGGAACGTTCCTTCCTCGGAAGGCCGTAGTGACTCCCATTCTGGAGAGTCCAGGAACTGGTATGGAAAGATGTAGTGGAGGAACTGCCCATCCTGGCTCACACGGACCCTGCAGGTACAGGCAAGATGCACAGGCTTAGATTGCAAAGCAGATATCCCACGAAATTGATCACACACAGCCAGTCCCACCTGCAAGGAGAGGCCTCATGTGTGTCCCACAGCCTACCAAAGACTGCTGCAAACGCTCTGGCCTTTGGGGTTGTCTCTCTTTTTCTCAGTGGAAAATGAGATTCACTGCCACTGCCCTGCTCTCCACCTGTTTAATTTTTACTGCATACCCAGCCCTCACAGGTGCAATGCCAGTCCTAAAACAGGACTTCTCAGTCAACAGGACTGCTGCTGTTCAAGTACTTCTCAGCCTGACCATACCTCTTTCTACCTGCATCTTCCCACTTTCCTTTGAGTTGCATGAGGGCAGGCAATCCTCACCTCCATGCTGCACAGTCCTCTCCAAAAATCACACTGGCATCGTGCTGCAATCTCATAGTTTGCTGCATATTCAATCTTGCAGCCTCTTGCCTTCCAAGCATGCACTGCCTGGGAAGGTCAAGGACTGCAAAACTTTCTGTTCCAGGCACATCCTGTGATTCTAGACCACCTTATCTTGTTATTATTCCATTCCAGAGAGGGTATCAGAAGAGCAACAGTGCTCTGCAGGGTCAGCCACAGCCTCATAAGGTAACAGGGTGGGTAGCAAGAAATGCAAATCCAATCCCATCTCCATAGAGCATCCCATAGCAAGATGCATACTTCCCACAGCAAAAGAGAGCAGAACAATCCCACCAGTGCTGGCTATACTGCACATTGCAGCATTTCGTGCTCACAGAGCAGCAGCAGGTGACCCAGTGCAAGGCAAGGCAGCTCTCCCCAGAAATGTTATTTGCAGGTCTGGTACGCTTCAAAGGAGGATGCTCAGCCTGGAGTTTGGTAAGAAGGGCATCCAGTAGAAATACACATATCCAATTTCCTCCCAGTACATTGCCTAGGTTGGTAGTCCCCGCTCTTAACACATCCTCCAGAAATGTCCAAACATACAAGAAAAAGCAAGGACAACCCTTCTTCATGCATCGTCTCACCTCCACTGCAGTAGACCACAAGTTCCAGGTGATGCTGAATTCATCTTCCCAAACGAAAATCCTTGTGAGACACTTACAGGTCTCTTTCCTTTTTTACTCTCTCTTGACATTAATGCTGAGTACCTGGCAGCAGTTAATATCACTACTATTTTCTGTATTTAGATTGTGAAAATTGGAAAAGAGATATGATCATGGGATTGTGCCACAGGCTCTAGGGTAAACAAATGCCAGTACCTCATCAGCACTTTTCGCCCTACAGTCAACCCCCCCAGTAAGTAAATAGCAAATTAACATAGCTTGAAGGCAAACAGCTACAACCATCTACAGGTCCTCCTTGATGGTCCAAAGAAACAGCATGACAATACGAAAAAGGAAAGGGGCCTGCTGAGGTGAGATGGATTTGACAAAATGACCCTCAAAGTGGAAAAACAGAGCCTTGAAGGTTCAGGAAATGGGGATGGAGCTCTCCCTTAATGCTGCTGGCCAGGGCAGCAGGTGAACCAAAGACTCTTGCTTGGCATACTCAGTCACCCACAGCACAGAGCCATTTCTGGAACCCACAGAGAACACAAGTTCAGACACACTTCCAGCTCTCATGGCTCCAGGTCTACTCCCACTAGAAATAAAATCACTTTAAAAAGACAAAGAAAGAGGCAAGGATCCCCCCAAGGGTCCCCCCCATGTTATCATAAGCACAGCTTTGCTGGCTGTGTATCATTACCTGAAATATTTTTATATATAGAAAAAGCCCAAAGGCAAATTGAAAAGAAAAAAAATATCAGCAAAAGCAGCAGGCAGACGTATATCACAAAGCCCTTTCAGAGGAAGGAAATAATCACCACCCCAGTTAGTACAGAGGGAGAAAACTACCAACAGCAGCCTCAGTGCTTTGCTGTGGGCCTGCTGGGAACCAGGAGAGTTTTACCTGCCAGACAGCAGCAAGGAGAGCCGGTCGATGGGCGTCTTGCCCTCCACTGCGTAATTCTGGTCTCGGACTAATGATTGCACTTGCTCTTCACAGCACTTCACAATTTCTCTGTAGACTTCCAGGGGCACCTGCAAGGGCAGGTACATGGCCTTGTAGAGAAGCTCAAACTCTTCGGGGACGGTGTCTCTGCGGAGTCGGTAAGCCAGGTGAGCCAGCTGCAGCACGCAGGTGAGGACAAGCAGCACATTCCAGACTAAGATGTCAAGGCCACAGGTGCTCAGCCAGCCCCACAGAGCATAGCAGAAGTAGCCCGGGGCCAGGAGGCCAAAAATGTAGATGGACCCAAAGATGCCGCTGCCACCCATGTAGCCTAGGAGGACGATACAGCTGGCCAGATGGTAGGCCGCTCCCTCCATGTACTCCTTCCAGGCATAGCAGGCAGGAGGCTGGAGGACAGCTTGGTCCCAGGAGGGGCTGCTGGTGCTCATCCTGCCCCGGCCGGCTGGAGTTAAAAAGCAATTGTCATATGCAAAGAGTGCAGAGGTCTGAAAGCAGAGCTGCTGGGTGGCTGTTCCTCCTCCTACTCCTCAGTGCCGGCTGGTCCCTTAGCAGTGCACTTCACAGCAACATGTTAAAGCTCTGCCAGATGTTTTCACTACCGAAAAATCCCCAAAGAGCTCACTTTTTCTCTTTGTGGCTCACAAATCAGGCTGGCCCTCTCCCTAGCCGCACCAAAGAAAAGCAGATCTGGCAAAACAGAAGCTGAAAAAACTCAGGCAAAGAGAAAGCAGAGGCCATTAGCTGGAAAACTCTGAGCCCAGTTAGAGATCTGGTTGCAACGCTCCTGTCGCCAGCCCTCTGGCAGTGAAAATGAGCCCGCGAGAGAGCGGCAGGGAGGGCAGGGTTGGATTTGGTACGTCTATCACTTGGCAGCGGCGAGGAGAGGGACCCCAGAGGGATAACCATGTTTGGAATTGAAATCCAAGGAGCAAAAGCAGCAAGGGAATGGAGAACAGGCACGCACCCGCCACTTAACATAACTCAGGCACCCAGATAAGTCCAGTGCAATGAGGGGAAAGGAGAGGCAGAGCAACGGGCTTTATCACTGAGAACTCCAGGCATCTGCAGGGCTCAGCACTGCTCTGTGCTCTTACAAGAGAGTGACCCTCACACAGAACAAAAAAGGAGAAAGGTTGTCTCCTTCTCCTGCTGCAACAGGCAGCGGTGCCAGAATTTCAGCAGAAGAGAGGCAGTTCCATAGAATGTTATTTTCCAGCAATGGGCTCTGCAACACAGCCTCTCCATGGGCAGAGCATTTCAGACCTAGAGGCTTGAGGTGTAGCACCAGAGCACATTTGTGAGTGCAAGGGACAGAGCTAAAGATATTGAGCGGCTGGGACTCAGCTTTATCAGTTGTGAAGAGGAGATTATATTGCCTAAAAGTTCCATGCATTTGGAAGCATGCTTTGCAGGGACATCCTGAGTGAGGATTCTTTCACCTCACAACTAACAGGCCTGTGTTGTCAGCCATGGCTAAGATGTGTAAATGCAGCTTTTCCCCTGCTTCGAGTAACACGTTATCAGTCACACCGACAGGATCCACCCCACTGCCAGGAAGCAGTAACATTTCAGGCATTGACGCAACCGGCATGGTCAGTCAACAGTATGAAGTCAGCCTGCATGGGTCAGTGGGGTAGGGATAGGGTTTCCAAGGGTGGTTGTGTTTCAGGACGAGCTTGCAGCTGCCCTGCCTAACATGCCATTCCCATTGGCATCATTCATTTAAAGAAACAAAATCAGCTCTGCCACTAATAGCCCTCTAGGATAACACTATCAACTGGGTGAGGCACAAGGAATGCTTCATGAAGCCTTAAAGAACATATCATAGTCTCAGCCAGCACAACTGCAGTGACTTTAAGTGCAACACAGTGCTGTACTATTCCTGAGTAGCAAAGGTATCTTGACCAGTTGCAACATGTTAAGGAAATAACACAAATAAAGCTTTGTCCAGAGGATGAGTACAGTCCACCCAGAAACATGCTCCTGTTAAGGGTGAAGTGATACAGGGAAACTTGTCTCCAGTGGTCCCTTACTTAAGAGAGAAATTCTACCAACTGAAGCATAACGAAGCTCATCTGCAAGAGGTATCTTTGGCTTCTCTGCAGGGAGGGAAGGATAATCTTACAGCCAAAGCACTACAACAACAATACTGAGAACCAAGTTCTGTTTTCCCCATCGTTGTCACGTTCATGATAGACAAGCTGTTGATGAGAGCAACTACCTTAAGGTCTCTGCAAAACCAATATTACAAGGAACACTTTTTTCAGGGGAGGCTGGCATTTGATATAAAGGGGAACTGGGATATCAAGACTGGAAAGACTTAAGATACGTTGCATAAGATATGCAAGATAAAAATGAACTGCTGCAGACAACAATGCTATGTTTGAAGAAAATTCAAAACTATGTTTGAAGAAACATTCTGAAAAGCAAAGTTGCAGTAAGATTACCTTTAGGTTTGCCCCACCTGAATAATGGGTTCACTTCAGGGTCCAGCTTCAACACAGTTTGTTAAGGACCTCCCAGCTCTTCCTTTTCTTTCTGGTGGATCCCATTCCTGCATGTAACCTCGGGTCATAATTTCTCCTGCCTTTCCATACTATCAAAAAACTTCTGCAGTACTATCAATGAAAGAGACCGAAAAAGAGAAAAAGTTACACAGTTTACCTCGGGTAATTTCTTGAACTAAGAGACTCAGGTTACACAAAGTTAACTACTCCTTAGGACAAAGAAAGTGCTGCCCCTGATATCTTCCAGGACACATCTCGCTTAGAAAAAAAACACTGATGTCATTAAGTGCAGCCATTGGGATTGCAGGAAACATAACCCAGAGCTGGATTTCTTTACAGTACTGGGAGAGTCAGTTGGGGTCAAACCCTGACTGTTTATACTAGTACTGTAATGATACCGAATGAAGAGTCCTGAATGGCAATGTGCAAGAGTGTCTGAGCTGCTGAGGTTGCTTCAAGCATTTGTTTGGATCCGTGCTTGTGGAGGCGTCTGGCAACCACCGCAAAATGACTGAAACACCAAGGCCCAGACCTTGCTTTCTGCCCTAAAAATACAGTGACCATCTTCACAGCATGTTCAGTTTTCTATCCAACAAGAGTTTAAAGAACTCTCTTAGTTTTCTGAAAAGAGATTTTATTCTAATGCATTGTCTAGAATTGGAAGACATGCCTTATCATCTAGAGATGCTGAGGTTCACCCAAGCTGAGAGTGCACAAGCCAATACTGACTCAAGTGGAAAAGCTGAACAAACATTCAAAGGGAGATATCAAGATCAAAACAATTTGGAATCAAGAGAGTAAATAATAAGATACTTGAGCAGCATCAAAACTCTTCACTGGAAGAAGACACATAGGCATTACAACAAAATGATGATGTGAGAAAGAAAAATACATGTCAAGCTCTTCAGCTCTGAAATCAGCAGCATGTAAATGACTTCTCACCTATAATGAACTCATTCAGTAGCACTTCAGTAACAGGTGATGACGCAAACCAGGTGCACGATATGTTTGGCAAATAAATCCGTGTACTTAGTATTGTCCTTGAGAGCAGCCCCACACCAAGAGATTATCAGTCTCAGATCCCGCAGCAGCTACACAACTGGTTATTTTCCACAGGATGTATACAGGCTCACTAGTGACCCCGTAACCTGAAAAGCAGTCTAATCACCTGAGTTGTGGACACTAATACCTGGATGGCCTAAAGTCAGAGAGGGAATAGTTAGACAATTGTTTTAAATTTACTATGTAGCGCATTACCGACAACACTCTGCAAAACATACAGGAAACAGCTGGGAAAGGTCTCAAGACTGCTTCAGACAAGCTCAATCAAATGAGGTCAATTGCAAATGTACAAAGATAACTCGCACTATATTTAGTTGAACTACTACTATACAGTTCAACCATATTTCCTGCTCCTGCTTTATTTCATGTCCCTGCAGCTACACTAACCATCATGTGCAGAATAGGGTATGCCATCAGTCCCCCCTCCATTCAGACTTTGAATCCACCCCGTAAGAATCTTGTAGCAATAACAATGCAAGCCTCTCAGCAAGATTTGACTGCAAGGCAATTGTTGCTTTTGAGTATACAGCTGTCCAGAATCTTTTCAGCACCTGCTGCACGCTAGCATTGCAGCTCCCCAACAAGCCTCAACATGACTTTGCTGAAAGCAGTAACACAATATCACTAGCATGATTTCTCAATTTGCATCAGGTGGAAAACCCACACTGAAGACCCACCTGTTCAACCACTGGTCTGATTGACTGATCCCTGTTCGCATTTCAATTAAAGCTTTCCTCACACTCTCCATTTCTATAGCTGTGTTTTGAATAACTACTGCCATTTTTTCCCTTAACTTTTTACAGAAAACAAACAAAAACCAGAAGTCAGGATCACTGGTCATTTTTAGACTTTTATTAAGAGGGAAAAATATATATTTTCTATACCAGCAATAAAGAGGTAACAGTGGAAAAGCTGCAGATGTGATACACAGTTTACCATTAAAGACTCTTTATAAATAGGTTCTTTTTTCATATTCGTTCTTTGAAGCGACTTCCAGAAATAATTTATTTTTCAGCCTTCCAGTACACCAATCACACAACAGTCATCATCTAGAAAAGGGAGGAAAGACAGCTCCATTACACATGGATTCCCACAGCATATCAAGGGACAGTTTAACTGTCTCCAGACATTAAGAGAATTGTAAACAAACAGCCCTACTCTGTTTCTAAACTGGCTCCAGAGTTACTTTCTGAACTCCAGAGTGAGGTATGTCCATTTCCAAAGAATATGAGACAAAAACAGGTTTTCCTCTGTATGTGACTTTTTGCATTTGGGTGAAGGAGGGGCATGAACTAAACACAGTCCTATCATTAGAAATCTAAATTGAACTCTGGCTTTTTTTTTTTTTTTTTTTTATGAGAACAGATGCAGAGTCAAACTTCACTATTCAAGAGCCACTCACAAGGGCTCTGAGCTCCCAGAAGCCTCTGCCATCCTCAAAAGGAGAGCAGCAGTTACTCCAGGGTCAATGAGGTTTACCTGGCTTTCCTTCTTTTAGGAAAGATTTGCCCTTTGTCATCATGGACAGTACCCTGTACCTCCCAATGGCACCAGCTGAGACAACAGAATACTTTAGAGGCAGAAAACAAGCAACGAGTGCATTTCTGTAGGCTATACTCACCACACACATCATCTTGCTCATCCCGCTCATATCTTGAAGCCCAGAGCTCTCATACATTCTTTGTGAGCTTCAATTAAGTGCCCGCAATTTTCTTCCCCCTTCTCAATGATGCTGCAAAACAAAAAGATTTCCAAGGCTCAGCAACAAAATATTATCTAACTATTAGTCAAAACCACACAGATGCCAAGCTACTGAGGGCAAATAGAAGTGAATAAATAACAATTAAGCTCCAGAGATTTTTTTTTGCCTATCGTGTCTAGGGTAGCACTACCAGTGTCCACAATGAGCAGGTCTACTGGGATTTTATTATACAGTACATGGCTGTTGCTTCACTATGTTGGGTTGCTGATCTTGACAGCGAATTCTCAAATCACTCAGTAACGAGAGGGACAAAGTTTCTACAACACCAGACAGATTAGACTGGCTTTACCAATAAACAGTGGGTTAGTCCAGTTTCTGGTGGCTTTTAGGGATTCTGGGAAAAAAAAAAAAAAAAAAAAAAAAAAAAAAAAAAAAAAAAAAAAAAAGGAAAAAAAGTCCATCTACGTATTAAAAAAAAAACAAACACATTACCACACGTGGTAACTTCCGATATTACCCGTTCATCCCATTACCCGTTATGTATTCAAATAGTGGCCGGTCC